CAACAAGTCCAAACGCTCACTCCCATTGGTTCCCGCCAACTTAGTGCCGCGCTCGGCAAAAAATACAAATTGACGCGCCATTTTTCAAATTAGCGGGGACCACTCTGATTGAGCGCACACTAAAAATCCGCCCTTATCAGGCTTTTTTCTCGGTTATTACAGGTCACACGAAGTAAGGAACCGCGGGGACGAATAGGGAATCCATGACAAGGAATCCGAATTTCATGGTCTCGAAATCCCTACAGGCCCCTGGGGNGGGGGGGGGGGGGGAGGGAAATTACAATACTAAAAGTCAGGGTCCCAGACTTGGAAAAATACGGAAAATTGTATTTAAAATTCTCCCATAAAAATCCATAATCGGCCCACCCTGGGCCACCCTACGCCCAAAAATGACCCCGTAAACTATAAAGAAAAGAAAAAAAAAGAAATTAACTTGAACCAGAGGTGGATGTTTAAGTACTAACTTTTCTTTGTCTGAAAAGCTGGAGACAAAATGTCAACCTGATCTACGAGTGAATTTCGCTGATAACTAACGAGCGGACAATTGGACATTATTGACTCAAATTGCATACACTACACGCCTGTCGGCAGAGACGAAAGAGAACATAACAGTTAGAGCGGATGAACGTGTTCTTCAGCAAATGGCTTTTGTTTAACCAGCCTATTAGACTGGGAAGAAATGACAATGTCTTCATTTCCAGGAGGTACGGATGTGACATCCATCGATTGACGTCAAAGAAGAACTCAGGACTTGACGTGGATCATTGATATTTTAGATACCACCAGTACAGGAACGATGGGCGACTTCTACGTTATCAAGGAAATATAATGTCAAGTTTGGATTCTATTGCTTAATTTTCAAAAGCTGAATGTTTTAGACAAAAGTCACCGTTTCACGGTGTTTCATCATTCATTTCTATACGTTTGTCCTTCGTATCACTGTTAATAGTGAATCCTTTGGAAATGGGTGGAACACTATACTATCTAAACCAGCACCAATTCAATTAATACGTGCAGATTGATGTGTTACCTATCTATAGTGCACCTCATGTAATGTCATGCGTAATACTCTACGCACTTTCAGAGACAAAAGAAAAACCACAAATCAGACGACATGAATAATTCCTATTTCAAGGCATGTATATCATGTCCAGTTGACAATTTTTAGGCGCGAGGAAAGGGAAGAGGTGAAAAAGGGTACCCATTCAATCAGTTTCTCCCAAGTTCGTCGCAAGTCACATTGCTTTACACGTGTCTCTTTGTTATGGGGTTGTGTTAGAATCGGCGTCGTGCATGAAGGCAGGACTCGCGATACCATCTGAGAGGAATCGACAGAAAGATGTGCTGATGTGGGATGCCTAAACACAGTGCGAGTGCAGTTCGAGTTTTAGTTCAATCAGTTTAGCGCGTGACGCATTTGTAATCGTCGACAAACATGAACAAATATTTCATAACGTGAGTCACCTTACCAACATTGTCCACTTGATGTATTTTTTATTGTTTAGAATGTTTTGGCCTTAAGGAAAAAATTCATAGCAAAAAGATCAACAGCTGACACAATATTTAACACTAAACCGCATTTAAGATGTACAATTTTTGAGACAAGTAAAAAATATGAATATTTTTGGTATACCGAGTTATACCGTCCAAAACTAACGTTTATCGCTCTTTGAATGTAGGTTTTTACGTAGGTAAAATGATGTTGTTGATCATGTTGCATACCATTGTTTTCTTTGCCTCGTATAGTTGCATTAAAATCATTGAAGAGGAAATTTTTTTGCAATGATTGCTCTACTTGCATCACTAGCAAAAATATAGCTAACATTTGCTGGAAGAATCGCAAATTGAATACTGGTTTAGTCTAATCGTGTAGCGGAATAAAAGTTTTTCGAATAGGCAACTATTCGCGCTCCTCAGTGTGTTTCTTGCCTATTCGACGAAATTGAAGGCGACTCGCAAATTGATACTTAAACTTGAAATTAAAATTGCGACTTCCTGGTTTACCATCAGAATCACACTCATGACATCGCACACATGGTTCAGTCGAAGTATATAAAACGGGATAACGCTATGTGTTCCGAGGAGCCTTCTATCCTCTTCTAATTCCACCTTCTTCTTTTCTCTTCTCTTATTTTTCTCGGCTCTTTTTCTTCATATTTTACTCTGCTCTCACAATAGCGTCCTTGTTGTCATGGCGCCTGGTGCAGCCAGTTCTCGCGCGCCACCCTAGATCCGAACTTTTGTCAAATCTAAATCGGAATAATCCAATGAAACATCTGATCTGAGAACGGAATTTGATTCAAGAGGTGCCGAGGCGCGGTGCGGTGGCGCACGGTGGATCGAGTCAATGAGAGAGGTCGAACAAAATTTAGAAACTTTAAAAGCTTATAACTCCGTTTATACACAACTTTGAGGTTCAAAAAGTGGTTTCATTGGTTTCCTCGTGAAATTTTTCTCTAGCAGCTTCCATTAAAATTTAAAATTTGACGAAATAAGCATCAAAATTTGCAGTTTTAGTCACAAATTTCACGTCCTTCCTCTCTAATTGACTCGGTCCACTGTGCGGCGAAGAGGCGTGGAGAAGACAGTAAGTAAACCCGTCGAGATCCCAGGTTGCCGCCTAGAAAGTGGCAACAACCTTGATAATCCGTCTTTAATCCATTGGGAGTTGGTGAGTTTTTACACTTTGGCAACCCAGGTCGGAAGCCAGGAGAAATTCCGTGCGGAAGGAGCCCAGATAAAAAGCCAGCAGGCAACAAGTTGTGTGACACGGTGTAAGCGGCGCGTCGGGTGAGCCGTTGTCATATTGTCCCTTCGATGACCTATATAATCGTACTTGTAGTGAACCTTCAAATATACGTATAGCTTATACCTGCAGACTCTGGTCCTCCTATAATTAAGAGAAATGAAAAAGCAAAACTAGCATTTCCCAATATAATTATCAATGCCAATAAAATCAAATATGTCTAAAATATGCTCCCCAAAATCTGCTATATATCCTACATTGGCCTGTGAATGGTGACTGTGAGAATCTTGCGGGCTGATTATTGAAATTGATAGACAAAGCTATAGACAAAGAAGACATAGGAAGTATGCAGCGATCCCATCGGTTGTTATGGGTGGTTCCTGTAGACTAAGGGAGAAAATGATGGACTAACTATACTATCGGGTCTCTCGTGGGTTGCTGATAATTAGTCTATTACCTACCTATTATAACCCCCCGCTTCCACCAATAGGATCCCTCCATATCTTTTTTGTCCTCTTTTTCTACAGCTTTGTCTATCAATTTCAATAATCAGCCTGCAGACTAGAAGAACTTTGAGTCTTGGAGGTTATTTTTGGAAATTTTGAATTAAGTTTCTGTTGGTTATCAAACCATGTGCCTACTTTCGCGGTTCTGCTACCTTAAGTTTCTCATTCAACAAATGAAATGTTAAATCAGGTTAATCAGGTTGTGCGTGGATCGGGCAGCAAAATATAATTTTGATTCCAACCCTGAAGGCGCGGGGTCTCTAAAATATTTTGTCACCATGGCGGCAACAGAGTGGGTCTTTTACAATGATGCCATCGAGTGCATAAACAAGCAAGTTTTTTCAAAATTGGTACAAGATGGAAAGTAGGTGATTTTAAGAATGAAATGAACCAGCCGCAATTTTATTTCTTTGGGATCGCTTAAGCGTTATGTAAGCTAGTTTGAAGGAGGGGAGGGAAGTTAAGTTTATCTTATGAGTTCTTTCGATGGGAGAGGGTAGGAGGCTCAAGCCCGAGCTTTCTGTAGAGTTTCCACTTGTAAAAGGAAATAATATTATCCAATTAATATAATTTTTTCAGCCAATTTTCAGGCTTTCTCCGTTACTCTCTGGAAAAATTGGAGACCAGTCTTACGTAATTCAGAGAGAGGGCGAGGTGAGGCGATGTCTGATGGTTACTCAAAAAGGGAGGCAAGGGGATCATAAAGCCGGCAGAAAGTGCTTTCGTAATACTTGAACGGCCCCTTTTCGCAGTAAACTCTTTTGCCGCTCCCGTAGACAACTAGAGAATAAATATCATGATATTAAATCATTACCACTTAAATATAATATCAAATATACAAGTATGAAGATAATACACAAAGATAGCCCGAATAATTTAATTAGAAAAAACACAAAACAATGGGCGAACAAGGCTAAAAACAGAGACATAAAAAACCTAGGACGTTTCGGGGTGGTCTCAACTCCCTTCTGGACCAGGAAACAAAAAATTTAAAAAAAAATGAATAAAAAAAAAGTACAAATAAAAAGTACGAGTTTGTATATAATTAAGGATAAGAAAGATTATTGTCGGAACACCTGACCCTTAAGTCCATTTATACCGAGAGTTAAGACAACGCGGCTCATGGATGTCACAAACGGGAATAAAGATTACACAAATTGGACGTTTTTTGTAATCTTTGATCAACCCATTCCCAAGTTCCTATCTCCGTTCTCACTCCCATTTCATTTGTTCCTTGCCGTACCTCCTATTTTCCGGTGCATTCCAGTTTACAATCTTTGCAATTGGTGAAGCTGTTATCTTTACTCCCGTTTGTGACTCTGTGAAGGTCTAAAATACGGGAACCAATCAGAAATGGATTCGTATTGTCTTTACTCTCGGTATATAGGGACTCTACCTGACCCCTACGAGAATCGATTCATTATCATAGGTTTAAATGGAGAGAAAGCAATGTTGCCAACTTGCTGGATCTGCCTTTGGGCCTCCGGGGTCCTCCTCCGATCCCTCAGCGGTCCGAGAATGAGTGCAGCGTTTCAGATGTTGCATTATTGGAGGAGTTCTCCTCTCTTTCTGGGGCTAGACTTGTTCCTGGCTTACACGCATATAGCCTGTACCCTCTTGCGGGTTACCTGCACTCAGCTCACCTGGCCGAGACGTGCCGGGCCGCGCCGCGACGCAACGCCGCGACGCGCGACGCCGTCTCCCTCCATAAAACCCTCCTAACTCCTCCTAACTACACCCATAAACCGAGCTACGCGCGCCGTCAGTCGCTCTTTGGCCGCGCTGTCGGACCTCATCGCACTTCGATACAAAATTTCGTTGGATTTCGTCCACCGGTGCTTCATCCACAAGTTAGTTCCCTTCAACTCGGGGATTCTTACAGTGAGTGAGTGTTTAAATCGGATTGGTTCCTCGAACAAGTAAGCCGTCAAATTTTTTTCGGTTTTTTTTTTGTTTCGTTTCCTCTCTTTTTTTTGGTGCAATTACTTGCGAGCCATAAAACGAGAAATTGGACGTGGTTTACTCGATAGAATAACACAGGTCTTCGACTCTTAGACTTTTTTTTTCGCCGGAAAAAATCGTGATTCAAGAAAAATGAATTTACTGGAGCTGCTTGACAGGATTTGTGAGGATTATCATCTGAGCCATGAATAAGTTTCCTCAGGAAAATTTTTTATTAGGTCCCTTAATTTTCAATCCTTAAGTTTTTATTCTTTTACACTAAAGGTAGAGTCTCCTTCGGGGTTGATTACCTTCGTGTACTTATTCTTTGACTAAGAATCGAGAGCCTGTCTCAAAAATAATGTAAATGCAAGGTATCAATGCCGAAAGCGCGGACACCAGACGCCACTGAGTTCGCTTGCGTTCAAGTTACCACCGTAAACCCTTACTATACTTTGAAACTGTGAACTTTTCATCGGTGAAAAGTGGTTCTCATGAATTTTTTAGTATATTTATGGGAATGAATAAGTCAATAAGTGTTTATATGTGTGATTTTTACCACCAAAACGGAGGATATATCGAGTTCTCCGTAGTAATCAAAAGCCCATTATGAATCCAGTTTCTCACTTGTCTAAACATATTTAAAATCGACCCGACATTTTTGATAAATTTTATATTTATTCCACTGTAAAAGTCATTTGAATATTGAAAAAATACGAATTACTTTCATTAAAATTTTAAAAAATGATTTAAAGTGAAAATCAATAAAAAAAAAATAACCTGCAAAACTCACGGAGCTCTTGGATGTACACTGAAAACCCGCACCAAAATTAAAATTTGTCCTCACTTCAATACTATTAGTAGGAAGTACTATATACTTTCCCCTATTTAGATTTTCTGGATTCATGATTTGTTAAAGTAAATTTTGCAATGATTCAGCCTTGCGCAAGTAGTTTTGTAAAGCTTAGGGTAAAACTTTAGAAAAGTATCGAGAAGCAAGAACACGATCAGGCCTCACAAAAATTAGTCGTAATTATGAATGCTGCAGAATGATTCTATCGAGGAAAAAATAATTTCGATCTATTGAAGTACTATTTAAATGCAAAGAAAAGGCCATCGAGAGGACAATTTTGTTTGACAACATTGTTTTCACTGATAACGTTGGAATCCTTACCAAAATTTGAGGTTCACGATAAAAACAGGTTAAGAGTGTCATTAAGTTTTTTTCCGGGAGCCGGGTCGTAAAACTTATTTTAATTTTTTTGTCGCCCCTCCCCCACCTCTCAAAAATTGCTCCGGGTCAAAGTATAATTAGTATACCTCTCTTCTCCACTCATGTTCTTCGTGAAAGAAATTCTCACTGACAGTTATTATAAACTGAGTTATAGATATTGGATGTTTCAAAGTGATTTCAATTTATCGTGAAGAGTGAAGTAAGAGACCCGAAGATCCTACCTCACGAAGTACATTTACATTTAGTTTTACGATTAAGCGCACGTGGCCATGAAGACTAAGTCTGATGCCGCAATTACAAATGGTCATATCAAAAGTTTAATCATTCCCAGGAATCATCTTATACGGCGTCCGCGTCTTACCGCCGCGCCAGTTAAGCTGTCTTCATCAGCTCTGAAGGAATAAAGTAACCGCTAGTGCCTGATCAGTTTTTCTGAGAACGATTTTAAACGTAATGTGAGGAGCGAAAAAAAGGAACAATGGAGGAAAAGTCTCATGGATCCAGAGTCTAGACTCTTAAAAAAATTGACAAGAAAAAATCTCTCTATTCAATCGGATTTTTTCTTGAATCAAAAGGAAATCTGCTTGAATTGAGAGCCTTGGCTCTCGATTCAAGCAAGAATCTGAATGAATCAAACGTATTTTTTCTTGTCAAATTTTTTCAGAGTCTAGACTCTAGATCCAAGTGACTTTTTTCCAGTGAAACCTATCCAAAACCAACATTAAAAACAGTATGAAAATAATTAGTCGGTTAATTTTTTATGACCACCAGCAACTACGCTATATACGTCGAAGACTACGAATTTACCTTAAATTTTTAAATTTACTTTCTTAAAGAGCTTTAAAATTTCGGTAGTTACTTTTGGATCATCAGAGCTTATGAGGTTGGATAATAGGCATCTCAACGAAAATATATACATAATTTGTCAGTTTGAGGCATGTTCGAAAAATGGAGGATTGGGGAATGATCCATGCTTGAAAGAAGTTGAGCACTTCATTTTTTTTTTTCAATGTGAATTTTAAGCCTGAACCAAAATGAATAATTATTTTTGAAAACGTCAAGTTATATGATTATCATGAAATATTTGATGGGAAATTTAAGAATTTCACAACATTCAAAAATTTTGAACTTTTTGCAATGTAATGATGCTAGATTTTTCCAAATCATCTGAGTTTTGCAAATGCACGACAAAATTTAGCGGTTCATTTTTTACAAAAAAGAGAGTTCAGGATTTATTTCTTCATAACGACGGAAAAAATTGTACAAAGAAAAATATAAAATAAATGTGGCATGTCGATGAATGATGCGCGAGTATATACCAACACATCTTCATTTGAAACCATTGTATAGGCGAAAAAGTCAAGTAAGTTAAAGTAATGAAAGTCTAGATAGTATATCTAGACCCTACTATATCTTACGCTGGCACGCCCCACAGCAAAATCTGTCATTTCACGAGGGATTTTTTTCTTCACCTGTAGCGTGAAAAGCTTTCTCCATTTTATGTAGAAATCGTGTTGAATTTAGGGTTTGAAATGCAGCATGCATACTTGAATTTCCATTCTTTACTAACAAATCCACCAAGGTATTAAATAGGTTTAACCGTAGGCTGTTTTTATAACTTCCTCCATTGAAACTGCACTTTACGACGGTTATGGTCTCTCTGGCAACCCATAGCTTGATCCATAAAACGTTGGACACCCCTCGAAAGGGTGAACTGAGGAGGTGCGAGAGAACTTTAACCATCCGTTGTCGCTGTTCTCGGTGCATACTCAAAAGCTCTTGAATTGTCAAATCAACACCACGGAGGGACCCTCGACCCGGTGTTCATTATTTATGGCCCGTTGCCGGTCGTCGAAGGCACCTTTGTGAAGCTTCTATCAAGTTTATTGAATTCCGTCTTAGATAAAAGTCAACGCCATCGATAATTTTCCCTCTAGGGGGAGTTACTTACCGCGCCATCGATCCGTTTCAATCAGTTTACGAGAATATTGCAACTGTTTCGATAATATTTATTGGAAGTTTTATTTAAAAGCGGGCGATTCTCTCCACTTTTTCATTTTAAACGATCACGTTTGATCAATGATCATCTTTTAAATCATTAGGTATTATTTCAATTGTTCCAAAATAATGTTTTTATCGTCCTATTGCAAAGTGCGGAACCGTTTAAATAAATCGATTTAAGACAAAAAATCAAACTCGAGCAAGAACTACCGATTCAAAATATGAATGCTGTCGAAAATACATGTTTTATCAAGGGTAATTTGGCAACTCTCGAATGTTCATACGGCGTTCTTCCTCAGCACGGCAGTATTCGCGCTGGCTGGTTTGTTCATTGCCTATACGGCGAAATGGAAGGCGCACTTTATAATCCGAAATGTTAGTTTACAGACCCATCATTAAGAAAGGATCGCACATAAAAATTACCTTCAAATAACCTTAAAATAAGTCTAGAAGTACTGTTTCCAAATATCAACAGATTTCTATACATCGATCAATTGGAAACGGTACTTTAGACCAAGATTCTGGAGGATGATTTTCCAATCGAACATTCCTAAATGATTGATAAGAGGGTTGAAATTTCGATTTCCCCTAAATAATCAACCTGGATGTTTCTTAAAATTTGAAATACGTATTTCGATCGTCCCTCGCAGCCTGATTGTTGAAATTTTTTGTTTGTCGGGACGACATAGGTGACATAGGTTAAGAGGCGGAGCGTGATCGGTCGGCTATGTCTTATCGCTGCTTTGTCGTGCCTTTGTCAGGTGAAATGGACGGCATACTGTCGGAAACTTAAGAGATGTCGATAGTTTGTCGTGAGTTCAACCCGACATAGGCACGACAAAGCAGCGATAAGACATAGCCGACAAATCACGCTCCGCCTTTTAACTTATATCATCTATGTCGTCCCAACAAACAAAAAATTTCAACAATCAGGCTGCTGAATACGTTGCTCTGGAGATGAGTATTTACCATAACGTTAGCATAGCATTTTGCCTCCCTGCGCCGATCCGATGTCTATTTCCCCGAACTTACCGACTTGACCGTGAGAAACTAGCCATACCTGCCGAAATATAAGACACTTTCTAAGTTTTGAAGTCTAATTTGGCGCCTGCGTAGTCCATGCGTGCCGGCGCGATGCTTATACCTACTTGTACAGGCGCGCGCGCGCGTGAGAACACAGCGTGGGGGTCAGCGCGGGACGCGTCGCGGCGCGCGCGCCATGCCGCCGCGCTGGAAAAAAGTTGAATAGACATGACCACAATTCCGAACGAACGATGAATGGACGACGCACAATCGATGGCATCTCGTCGGAATCTGGACAAACTCATTAGTTTGGGATACAAGCTTTTCGTTAGTGAAAGTATTTTTAAAGTGGAACTCTATTAAAGTATTTTTGACCGCCCAGTTAATTTAAAAGAAAAAAAAAAACAAAAAAGGGGGGGAAACATTGTTTAACATAAGTATCTCCAACATCAATTAGAATGGAGTGAATATTAGTATTTGGGTAATTTATCAGTTTTAGAACATGTCACGAAACATATTAATGTTTTCATGAGACGATTTCAAAGATAATACACACTGAAAAAAGGGAGAAGGATAAATTATTTTCCACTTACCAGTGTTTTTTTCACTTGCGTCAAAAGTACCTTGTTCCCTTGGATTGTTTCTCATTTAGTATACTGGAGGTTTCAAAGAAAATTTTCTTGCCAACAGTTATTGGCCAAGTCGTCAAATGAAATGTCT